TTTTTTTTTTTGCTTTGCGAAGATCGGTTCCCTGCTTCGGGAACCGATTCTTCGCATTACAATGATCAAAACAGCTGATCATCGGGTTTTCAAAATGGCCACAAGCTGCACAAAATGGCTGCCTGCTGTGTTTTTGGACGGATTCCTCGCTCTACAGGCACCAAAAATGGCCACCCCTATGGAGGATCTTCGCTGGACAGTGAATTATTCAGCCCATTGGAACACATTAACCAGGTTTTAATGCGTTTCAATGGGTTTTTTTAATTTCCCTTAACGAGGATTTCACTCTACAGCGATTTCGCTGGAACCAATTAACGTCGTTAAGCAAGGCACCACTGTACAAGTTCACCAGGCTGCCTTGTGTAAGCCATTTTCTATTCCCCCCCATTCATTTAAGAATATATTTGTCACATTTGAATAGAAGGTATTACAAATCATAAAATCTTCTATTAACCTGACCTCCCACCTAGGATTCCTAGCATGGTGGGTAAAAAGCAATGATTTAAAAGATATTGTGATTTAAAACACGATTTAAATTTTTAAAACTGATTTTTTTTTAAAAAAAAAATTAAATCATCCAAAAAAGCTCAATTTCAAAATTTAAATCAAACCCACCCTGGTTCTAAGTGTTTTGTAAAAAAAACAAAACCCCATGGACGCATCCCTAAAACCCTGCATGGCTTATCCAGTAAAACCCTAAAACTGTATACATGGCTTACAAAAGTTACAGTTGAAATACAAATAAAACCTTGCGAAATCAGTGCTGATCTTGGATATTTTGGCTTACTCAGGGCCCAAAAGAAGAGCGGGATAACAAATGAAAACACAGAACAAACATATCTGCATAAAAACAGGACATTTGTCAAGTTACTTCCACTTTATAGAAGCAACAGCAGAGGTAGCCTCTTGAAAGAGGTATAATGAAATAAAGCCATCAATGTACTACATTGCCTTAACTGTCCAGGTGTTATGGAAAGCATACAAACATTCCAACTGCTCAGGTGTTTAAACATGCCCAGGTATACAAGGCCTAGATAAATGTGAGGTTGCTTGTTATCAGTGGCAAAAGGCAGGAAGTCTGTAGCACTGTGCTGATTCACAGTAGATATTTTGAATGGCAGAAGGAGTCTGTCTGTCTGTCTGTCTGTCTATTCATCCGTCCGTCCGCCCGTCCGCCCACCCACCTACCTAAAGCCGAAGTGTTGTGCTTGAAGACAGGCTTCACTCTGAAATGTTGGGGTGAGATGCCCCCCACATAAGCATGAGCCGCTCTGGTCTATATCATTCTCTCCGAATGGAATAATACATCAGTAAATAAAGACAGAATGAGTGGAGAGAAAGGATTAACGGTGCCTACGTTGATGACTAATGATGATCAACAAACAGGTCATGCAATGTGAAAATTTAAGCAAGCTTCTGCTGCCGTGATTTAAAACACAAAGAGTAATTAAAAATGACCTGGACATCACTACTAGATCAGGTGTAAAAGTGGGGTGAGCTCAGAAATCAAGCTTCCCACCCCTCTCCAAATTCACTCCCCATTTGAGATGAGTGAAAACGTTATTCCTAGGTGAAGCTTTTCAAACCACAA